GGAAATTTGACCCGATTGCAATACTTTCCTTACCCAGTATAGGTAAGGAAAGTAAAAAGTAAGTGATACCATAACTCTATTATTACAGTATACATTTATAAAAAAAGAAGAAAAAAAAAGCAAAATAATTATAGCATTTTATGAATTTTATTGCTCATTTATTCCAGCACTTTAGATTAAATTACTTTTACCATTTTTTTTTACAACTTCCAGAGTTTTATTAACATAAAAATAATTATTAATTTATTCTTTAAACATGCATATTTATTCATGAAAGTATAATATACGATAAGCAATATCATGCGTAACATTATACATTTATCTATTTCACAGTAGAAGAGGGTAGAATGAATTTAGTCCTTTGAGTATATCCTTTTGTAGTAGCTGTCTTCTCCACAATTCCAATTCCAATACAAGCAAGATAAATTGCCTCCTAGAATACATACACTAAATTTTATCTAGTCCCACCATCCGCGGTCTGCATTGAATTTGTATATTCGGGATAGAAAATGAGAATTTCGTCAGAGAAATATATATTTGAGAAAATGCATTGAAACAGGTATGATAAACCTGTTTAAAAGTAAATTAATATCGTCTTGAAAAACAACACAAGTTCCCTTCAACAACTTAAAATAGTAGAAGAATTATATAATCCATATTGCTAAACTCATCGATGTAATTCAGAGCGTTACTTTATTCATCTATTAAATCACGATGGCTCAACGATTTCATTGGCTTTTGTTGATGCAACTTGGTCGATGTAACCAGAGTATGAATGAGGAAAAGATTGGTTGGTGTGTTCAGTAAATATATATATATATATATATATATATATATATATATATATATATATATATATATATATATATATATATATAATCATAAATAAATCATATTTATTTTTATTTTTTGCTGACGTTTGGGCCCAAAGTTCAGTTCATCATGAGGGATAAGAAAAAATACAGATAAAAATGGGTATGAGAAACTGTAGATAGATTTTACAGTATCTTAATTTTTCTATTAACATCTATTATCTTATTTAAATTACTTCATTCTCCTTTTCTGTGTTTTACGTTTTATCCCATGATCATACTGAGACCATACACTTTCTTTGAGCATACTAAGACATTATATTATAGCAATTACGTCACCCCATTTATTTTGGGTCTACACTTATGTTTTTCATCTCAAATAGACCATTACATTTCGTTGTTAATTCATTTTTCATTTCTTATGTTACCTTATTTCATTAGTCCCTACATTATTTCCATTATTATTTATTTCATAGTTCTCTGTTACAGTTATAATTTGATTCATAATTTCTTAACTTTGTTACCGTTATGTTATATATATCCTAACTTCCGTTACTTTCTATCCCTAACTTCGTTATCGTTATTTTATATTTCCTTTGAAATTTATTCCATCCACTTTATTTTACCTACTTTCAGTTTATTCTACCTACATTTTTAAGACTATACCTTTCACCTACATATTATTATTTTCTTTTTAATGTTAATAGTTTCTCATACACATTGTTATCTGCTTTTTCTTATTCCCGATGAAGAATTAAACTGATGAGGCCCAAATTTCAACACTAATAAAAACAAGTATAATTTATTTATTTTTACAATTTTTTTAATGTGCACCCCAAGCAATCTTCTATTCAATTATTCACTACAACCACCAATCCACAATTATAACCAGGGAGTAGTTATTTCTCTATTTAATTTGCATATTTATATTGAGTTTATTTACTCTCTTTACAAAACGGCTTTGATAATCCGATTTAAAATTATGTAAAATCTATACAAAATTCAAATACAATATAAAAACATTTAAACACGTTGCAAACAAAAAATATTTTTGAAAATAATCATATAATGTACATTGAATCAATGGATTTTGTTGTTAATGAAAACGCATGACTTTTTTGCAAATTTCCAAAAAGTAGCAGGCCTCGGTAGTCGGGGTCCATTCGATCCATAGATCCATTTGCCCACTCCAAGAAATAATTAAATCACTACATGGTGTTTCTAATACTTGTCTACAATGAAAAATAAAATAAAAGAATGAAAAGAAAAATAAATTTTCCAGTGAAATTAATATTATATAAAAAACGTATTCCATAAAAGGCAATTAATTTGAAAGAATCTATCCAACCTTTACTTCATTGATATCAGCTTTGTGACCCTTTTTAAAAAAAAATATTAAATTTAAACTTTGACTTTTCAGCTAATATATTCCCGGAAATTGGATACCCTCTTGATCTCTGCTCCAAATGCCACAAAATAAAGTGATTCCTCAACTTTCAAATGACCGCCTAAATGGTTTCCTATTTAAAGAGACCACAATAAGGATTTAGTCACTACCACGCGAAGCAACTCCAGTAATATTTTCTAAGAAACAGAGCACATTCCATTCCGTCCCTTGTAAGTCAACTTTAAATCTTTGTTTTCTTGGTCTGGTCTGTTTTCTTGTACCGTCTTGTATTTATGTCTAATTATAAAAATTTTACAGTTTAGTAGGTAGGTCTTTTTAATTTTTTTTGTATTCAAGTTGCTAACAGTTCAGGAGTGTCAAACTTCCTTTGGTAGCAGGTCGTTGTCGGTGCTAGATTTAATCGATTCATGGATTCCAATAACAAACAAAAAACATCTCGTTAAAGTTTATTTTTAGTATTAGTTATCTACGGTACACTCTTTAATAAGTATTGTGGCAAAAAAAAGTTAATTTATGTCTGAAAGTCACATCAAAGCTTTTACCCATAACTCAGCTTAATAACTTAAAACAAAAATGTTGTCAATAAGTATCAAAATAACTTATTTGCTTTTTTTGCAGAGACAGATTTCACTTTACAAAGTGCTTTGGGGTCGTTTAAGAAAAGTTTAGGCATTGCTCGAACACAGCGACGGATGTTTAATTCAGCCTCAGTTAGCTTTTGTGGTTTTATTCTGTCAGTTTCAATTATATACCGTCATTTCGTATTTTGTTCTCAGAAATTCAACTGCCGACTGAAACTTCTTTCTGCCTTGTCAATTAAAACAATTTAATTTTTTTAACTCACTGTAGGAAATAAATGATGTTCTTAATTATTATTCATTTATATTTTCTTTAATTAATAATTTATTTATAATAAAAAACAATACACATATATATGCACATACATATATATACATGTAGATAATTGAATGTTAAAATTAAGAGGATGACAAATAAAAAAGACATGCAATCATTTATATTGTATGTTGATTTTTCTGACGTTTCGATCCAAGTATATTCATCATCAGGAATAAAAATTTTAAAAATATAAAAATCTTATCAGAAAAGAATAAGGACAGAAGTATGAGAGAGAGAGAGAGAGAGAGAGAGAGAGAGAAATATTTTATTTAAATCAGCGCTGTCCTGCTATATAGGATTGCTCTATACACAGTATACATATCAATCCTTTTAGGACATAGAACTTAATTATACTTGAATTACATACATATATTCATATTATTTTCCTCCTTATTTCAATATCACTCATCATATAAAATATTATATGATTATATGACTATTATACTAATATATATATATACTAGTTGGCCCTTGCGAAAACAATATGGAAATAAGTAGATCCTAGGTATTATGTAAGGAAGGAATTAATATTTTTCCTTGGTCGATTACAATATTCCATTAAACATGATAGAACAAAATAAACGAATTTCTTTGCTTGGACCTATTTTTAAACGCTGACTGATAAGATAATAAAAGCAATAAAGACAAAATAATGTACCGATCATGGGATTTTCTAAATTATTTAAAAAAATGAAATACAAGAATACCAAATGTCTTTAAGAAATATTAAAGCTAATATATCAGCCAAGAAAAAAAGTTTAGCAGACTATTCTACTCCTAAATTCTCCTATTTAAACAGAAAGACATTATTAAGTACACTAAAACTAATGGACTGTATCTTTGTTAATAATTGTCCGATTTTTTTTTTCTTTTGTAGGTAATTTAGTAATATTTCTAATCATCATGCATACATTTTGAGTTATTCGCAAATAAAGTTTCTTTTTCTTCATAACTTTTTTTCCGAAATTTAGGGGGGATAGGACTATTTTTCGCATGTGACGGAGAAGAATATCTTCAAAATGAGCGGTAAATCATTGGATTTGATTAAGAATTGACGAAGTTATGGCGTGCCGACAAAAAAAAATCTTTTACAAATAATATATAGCATTGCGGGGAAACCGTTATAACACAAACTCTGAGATTTACATTAAAAAAAAAAAATGTTCAAAATTGAAGACTAAAGATGGAAAATATTAAAGTATCGTGTGACCAGGTTTTAAGGTGAGATTTTGTGTCTTGATGAGGGTTCATTTATAAATAAATACAATATCTTATAGGTGATAAATATAAAAATATAAAGTGTCGAAAATACTAATTTATAAGATATTGTTGAAGAAAGTTTATAGACTGTTCTACATATCATGGGTGATAAATATTCAGGGCGCAGTCATTATAAAGTTTTTATTGGTGCCGACGTTTCAACCCAAACATGTGGGTCATCATCATTATGTGTTTCGAGCACTGAAGGTATTCATGTACTGAACCAGGGGTCAAATACCAGGGGTACTTGAATAACATCAGTGCTCGAAACACACATTGATAATGAACTACATGTTTGGGCTGAAACGTCGGCACCAACACAAACTTTATAATGACAGAGTCCTGAATATTTATCACCCATGATACGTAGAACAGTCAATAAACTCCCTTCAACAATATCTTAAATTAGTATTTTTCTTGAATTACAATTAGTTATTTTTTGGTGTTTTAGGCAAACAAAAAAAAAAAAAAATAACTGATTTGTACCAACTAGAAAAATTAAGGAAAGTCCCATCTTTCTCAGAATTTAGAATCCCTAAAGGATACATTAAACTTCTAATGAAGGATAAAATATTTGATCGTTTCTATTAAAAAAAAAAAATTAAATTGGGTATATAACTTACCTTGTAAGATGAAAGATCGTCCACCACACAAACCAGCGTAGCTTCACGCCCCACTGGCATGGTCACATTGGTGATTGGTTCTGCGAATTTTGGCACATCTGCAACAAAAATAATAATATATTTTTCAAAAGAAATAGTCCATCGAAAAAGTTAGGTTATTATTGGATACATTCCAAACCACACAGCAGTATGTCTCCGAAATAAAAACCTCGTCAACATTGACTCCAATTCAGGCAGAAAAGGACAGCTAATATTCAAAGGATGGTAAGCCAACACAGCAAGGAAAGGTTACAATCAAACAGCTGATCAGAGGAACAAAACGACTAATACATATTGTTCTGTCTCTTGATTAATTTCTTAATAATTCAGCATAAAATTTTGAAATTTTAGTAAGCTTGATATAATCGTTTGATTCATCCCTCCATTCAGAATGAGTAACTAACCAGGTTGTAAAAAACATGAGTGGTATGTATCCACATTATATTCATAAGGTTATATATATAATAATAAAGTTGGAGTATAATAATAATAGAAATTGTCAGAATTAAATTAATTCCATTACGATTGCCAAGAATCACTTAACTTTGGAGCAATTTGTGATAATGTATAAATGTATTGTTTAATGATACTTACAATCAGTCTAAAGTGAGTTGAATAGTCTGCTTATAGGTATTTAGATTATCAATTTAATCACATGTATGAAGTAACTGGAATAAGTGAAATCAATACAGTATGCTAGTATTAATATTATTATTTAGGATATAAAAAACAACAATAATATATTCCATTATACATATTGGACTAACGAAATCTCTTAATAAATAAGTGACAACATAAAAATATGTATACTAAATAACTAGCAAACATTAAAAAAAAAAAAAAAATTTAAATCAGGATATCTGACCGTTTAAATTTAAATTTGGATTTATTTATCTATTATTTAATAGCGTTAGAAAAAATGGTAAGTTTCACGATAAAACTTTGGTTATTTCATATTAATATTTTAAACATTTCCGCAAATATGAATGTTTCCGAAGTTTCATTAGATCAAATTATTTTCCAATTTTAATTTTTCCTAAAAACGAACGGAAATGATTCTTCATGAAAAGGCTTTATAAAAAAAAAGTCTTTTTCTCACACAAAAAACAAAATATGATTAAATTGCAGTTACCTTGTAATGAAACACCAACATAATGAATTTAAAACAACTTTTTTTTTCTTCATCGAAATTATATTTTTCAAACGCGATGCTTCATAAATTTGAATTCTAATATTTTATTTATACAATTTATTTATATGACGACTTTTTTAATACATGGTTCAACAATATCGTTCAAATCTTATCAATTTAAAGTAATTAAAAAATTATATTATTTATAAAGTATATTTTTAACTACAAAGTATACAGGTATCTACATAAACTTAATAAATTGTTCAAGTTATAATTTATTTATTGTTTTCAAATTTTGTAATAATCAAAATAATAATATTTTAAAAACAATTCATATTTTAGATTGTTTTTCATCATTATTTCATTTATTGGATTCCCTATTCTGCAAACGGATAAAAAACATGTGCCTCTTATTTTCTTTCTTCTCCCATACCTCGTTTTTTCCGCTTTACGGTTTTTTGTTGTTTTTTTCCAAGCCATTGGAGAGAGTGGGAGATCAATGTCAGAATTAAAACCCCTGGGACTTGAACTCGTAATCTTCACAGTTCATGTTGTCGGACGCGTATTTTGATTACTCCTCAGACCTCTCGGACACTTCCCATCATCAAAGCGAAAAACGTGTTCATTTTAAAGTATAGGATCTCTTGTATTTCATGCAATACTGTAATAGAAAGATAATAACCGATTACCTTAAAATCAATTTTGCTTTTTCCGAGTTCAAAACCCTTCACTGCAATATATAATTTACCAATGAACCCTACTTCGTCCCTTTGCTATGCAGTATGGAATTAAATTTTCAAGGGAATCACTTAACCCTTGACAGACTGACAGGAGATCCTTTGGGGTGACCGCCCCCCAACATACACTCCCCCTAATTGTCCAGGGGTCAGCGGTACAGGGGTCAGACATCTTGAGGCCTTGGGGTATTACCATGAGAATTATATCCGGACCAGAGGTTGAAAACTAGGATAACCCGCCGTATATAAATTGGCTTATAACCGTTGGATAGACCGCTGGCCTACAACGACTGCTTTCGTGGTGCTACCATTTCCTCCCCTCCGATTCCTCACATTGTGAAAGATATTATATTACTAAGATAAATAAAAATAAATTATACATTACTAGTTGGCTCATGAAAATAGGTCACACGGTGTAGTGGTTAGCCGCTGCATAGTAATATTGTATGGCAATTTAATTCATAATTATTCAAAAGTACTTTATTTTTAAAAGTAGTAATAAATATCCCTCCAGTATATTTTGCCAACATCCAAATTCTTCAGATATGTTCATTTATCTTGGAATTACTAACGACTAGTGTTGGCCAAATGCGAGACCGACACCGGTATTGCTCTTGCAAACCAAGTCTTGGTCATAGTTTTGGTCTTGCGCAAGAGTCTTGCGAGCTTAGTATTATAGAGAAATTACTATAATTTATTAGATAGGAGATACCTAACTAAGCCCGAATGAAATATTAGAGGAGTTAAATGCAGAAGTATATTGGTTATACCAATTATTAACATATAGTAACTAAGATTGTCAAGTATTAGTAATTAGTTTGCCTTAACATTTATTTAAAAAATCGATTTTTTTTACGAGCCCTGGTCTTGGTCTTGCAAGGTGCATGACCAAGACCGATTTTGGGAAACACTACCCACGACAGAAATATGACTCATGTTAAAATGAAACGAGGGATCCTTAACAAACGAATCAAAAATACTTTTTTCCTAATCTTCAAAACTGAACCAGAAACAGAAAATAAACGCTTACAAATACTTAATAAAACCGATATGGGCATATTCATCACAGATGTACGTTATCGCCAAAAAGCCACCTACAAAAGTTCTTCATAAAACCTTTCAAAAGTTTTTCATTGACTCATTAGACTCACAAGCACCTTGGTTTATTTAGAAAAAAAAAAGTAATAATATTCATTGCTTGATTTTTTTCTGCGGAATTAAATGGTGATATTAAGATAAATCTACCTCAATCACAAGAGGAAATATCTCAATGAGAATGTAAAAAAGTAACGTATGTAACCGTCCCCAAGGTGAAGTTTTAAAAAATCTGTGGTGCAAGCTATCAGCCCAGGTGCAGTCTCGAGAAATAAAAGATCTGACTGAAGACTATACATTGTTTCATCTAAAACATGCTATGTCCCAAGAATTGTTATCATTATATTACTTAACATTGTTTAATTAACATAATTGATAACAATTGAAAAATAAATAGTTTTTATGTTGAAGGTTTCATATGTACTCAATATTTGGTTAAATCAGTAACAGCGATTTTGTATAAAAATATAACATATGTTACTATTATTCGCATAATTAATATTATTTATTTAAATTGTTTCTTCTACCAATTGATCATATCAGTTTTCTTTTTATTGTAAACATTTTGTTTTTCTTAAAGGCATTGATGAAAGAAACGAAAATCATAATTTTTTATTTTTTTCATTTTTCTCATGTAGACTTGAAATATTTATGGTTTACTTTTATCTTTATTATATTCATAGCCATTATATTTTTCCAATAAACTAATAAAGTTTGTTAATTAAAACTGTTTGAACACGAAGGAACTGTAATAACTCGATCTTTAAAGAAATATCCAAACAACGTATACATCTAAAAAAAAAAAAGCACGATACCAAGAGACATATTTTAATGTAATTCAATAACCAATATTATTGCACACGGCACCTAAAATCAAATAAATAAATAAACTGTTTGAAGAAAAATATCCTCGTTTAATAAGCTCGACCAGTGAGGCGGTTGAGAGAGTAGCGCAGGGATTTGGGTTCTCCGCCTGATTGTATATATTGTATATAGGTATGACTGTATTTTTATGTTTTTTATTTACTTATATTTAGGTTTTTTTTATTGTATATATTTTTTATTTATTATTATTTTACTTATGTTAATTTAATTTTTTTTTTTTGTATATACGGTGTGAATGTGTGCATTTATCAATATAATTATTGTCCCCGTGACAGAATATTATATGTCTAAATAGATAAATAAGCTCTATGTCCATATTAATTATGTTATGGCTTAAGAAAAATAATTAAAAAATAAAAAACAAAACTAATATTAAGAAAACTGAATATCATAGCTCAAGTTTGTTATCTAAGACTTTTATACTAATATTTGAGATCAATATTTCTTCAAAAATTAATATAAGAATGACTCACGTACTAACTTCCACATGCCAACAGTAGATAACGCATAACGATCATTTACCAACGAATTTATTCAAATATACCAACAGTTTAATAAGATACATGACTACAGCTGGCATTCCCCTGAATATGAATAAAAATATGGACGGATGAATAAGGAAAAGGATTAAAAAACTTTCTGGATGAGAGATCTTCTTTATTAAAAAAACATAGTAATGAAATCAAGCCAGGGAAGAAATGCTGCTAAGTAGTGTCAAATTAATTATGATATTTCTCAACTTAATTTCTTAAATTTCTTATTTAAATTTTATTTTCTAGGATATTTCATTTCTATAATTTTCAGCCGTTACGAATTATTACATCGTTTCTCTTCAGATATGAATCATATTAAATAAAAATAACCTAGAAAATATTACACAACATAATTACTCATAATTGCCTTAACCTTTCTAAAGGCCGCAGTAAGGTTGAGGGCGTCCGCAACAATTTTTTATACTTTACTGTTACTATTTTATTTGACACAAAATACACATACACACACACACACATACACATATATTCAACTCAATTCTATTAACTTTTCGTAATCTAAATAATTAAATATTAGTTAATTATAGCACTAGATAATTAAATATCGTGCAATAACGTTTGGAGGACGCAGCTACGTCATTGTGACCACATGCGGCCTCCGGTCCGTAGTTCTCCACCTATAAAATAACTTATTTGTTAAATATAGTTTAAACCGTGCTAATGCATTAAAGGCCAACGAAGGACGAA